AAAAATAAATCGTTAGTCATATCCTGATGCGTCCAAAAGAAATTTAACTCAATTTTTTGCTCCTGTATAATAAACATTGTTTTGAAACTAAAGTGAATTAATTAATTTAATTTAGACTTTACTGAATGCCATATATGTAATGATTCGCCAGATTTTTATGGTATTTTCTTCTCACTTAGAAATTAGTGCCCATTTCCCCTTAACGTATAGCTTTAGAATCCTTGTCAAACATAAGCGTATATACAATGGGAGTATTAATATTTAAGTAACGAAAAAAAATTCTATTAAAAACTGTTGTATATGAGTGAGATTGAAAAAAAATCATAACATGTTTCATTTCTTGAGAAAACAGGAAGGAGAATGGAGATTAATAGATACACTCCAAGTTTCATCAGGCAATCCAACTGTTCTTGTTTTTTCTTTTTTTTTCCTCTCACTTTCTTCAGTAGTTTTTCTACAACATTTTAAATGTTCTTATTTCTCAATATACGAGCCTTAATATGAAAAACTTTTTTACTTCATATTTAACAAAGAGTTTAAAAAGATTAAAAATATATATGAAGAGTGCTGATTACGGAACACCATGAATATTATGAGCAGTGACTGTGAAACCCTCTATATTGCTAAAACGGGAAGTAGATTGGTAGACGATACCTTGTCATTTTTAAGACTATATAAAAATTTTATTTTTTAGCGAACAAAAATGCAAGGTAAAAAAAAAAAATACATAGGAACAATTTTTCTTACTAATTTGTATTTTTATCAAAAAATCTAATTTTAAAATTAAAACTAGATGTGTGGCATTAAAAATGTATTTTTACGCCAGGAACGATGACAAAGTGGCGGTCATTAACTCGAAACGAGCTCGAATTCGAATTAAATGAGTGCTAATGATAGCGACGGAAACAGGTCACAGTTTGTTATTTTTTACTTTCCTTTCTTAATCCCCATCTTAAAACATAGAGTGCGCACAACTTATCATTGTCAAGTAACAACAATTCGAAACTTCAATTTGAAGAGTCACATACTTTTTTTTCAATATAACATGACTCTGAAACAAACTTTTAAGTTAATTAGTTATTTTAAATTGAGTTCTGGTAGTAACTGGTTTGTTACGAACACTTACGTTAGAGCTGGGCTTGCGGGACCACAGCTATTGTATGTGATTCATTTTAGCTTCACCAGTGGTGGGGATAATGACTCCCCACACCCCTCTGCAATGAAGTGATGTGGACCTGTTAGCTTGTGACCTGTTAGCTCATGATTCAGGATGACTTTCGCCGCTGAATCTTTTATTATTATCTTTGAAGATTCAGTGGCGAAAGTCATTCCGAATCGCAAGTCCAATTCTGATGATTCCGACAATGTACATTCTCTTGGCCTCTCCGTACGTCGATGCCATAATTAAAATATTGAATCAGAACATAATGGACCACTAGTTGAGCTCAAGATCAAAGTGGAACCGCGGGATTCGAGCAGTGAACATTCTATTGAATGAAGCGATAGTGGGGATGATGAGTTTGAGGTTATGGAACACAGAAACATGACAATAGATTATCTAGTAAGCAGGGAAGGTTACAATAATGCCTATAATCGCATCACATGCATCATTTTGTAGGGTTACTCTGTACTGATTTCTTGATGGTTTATTTTTTATTTTTGACCCATATGAAGAACGGCTATTCAGCTAATAATTAATATAATATAGTTATATAGTATTACTGGCGGAATTCGTAGTAACAACTGAAATAACAAGAATTTTTCGAAGGTTCAACTTAATAGAACAATCCTTTAAAGACATATAGAAAGCTTGCCTATTTTTTTAAATGTTGTACTCTCTACTCTTTGAAAGTTTTCATAAATTAAAATACTAGATTATGAGCATTTCCTTCCAAAAAAAAAAACTCTTTTGCGCAATTAAAGGATTTTAGAAAAAAAATTTCCAAACGATAAACAACTTGGTTGCTTTTAAAAATAACCTTATCCTCAAAATATTAAATTTTAAATCAATAAAAATATAGTTATAAGTAGTAATTCTTGAAATAAAACTCATTTTTTACAATTAAAAGAGTTCGAAAACAGTATTCCAAAAAAATATAAACAAATAACGCGTTTTATCTCTCTTAAAATCATGCATATTATTCCTTTGAATAATTCAAACAAAACATTCAGCAACAAATAAATGCATAAAACGAGAAAAACAAATAAAACTAATTCCTCAAGAAATTAAAGATTTGATCTTTAAGAATATTACATAAGTAGTTATTCTTATAACAAAACTCATTTTTACTATTAAAGAATTTAAGAAATAATTTTCCAGAACTATAAGCAATTCAAGCATTTTATGTAGCTAAAAATCATGCATTTATTTGAATAATTCGAAGAAAGCATTCCTCAATGAAGACTCAGAACCAACATTCAGAAAATTTCTAAATAAAACTCTAAGGAAGTTTAAACAAATGGCAATCACAATCCTAAAACATAAAACTATTTAAATCAATGTCGTAATGTCACCAAAGTAAAAACATGAAGGGAAGAGATTTTATAGATACGACAAAAATAGATAAAACATAACCCTTAAAAAATCAAAGTTTTTAATCTATTAAAATATAGCATAAGTAATTATTTCGGATAGCCTGGTCGGTAGGGCGCTGGGCTCATGTCCGAGAGTTCGTGGGTTCGAACCCCGAAGTCGGGTCGGCCGAAGAGTCCCCGTGTAGTAAAGTGACTGATGCACGTTAAATCTGCGTCGAGTTGCAAAAGTCCTCCATGTTCCCATAACAAATCAATACCTCTGGAGGTACTGGATTGAAGATCGATCGTTCTCTGATTCAGGTCAAAATTACGATCTGTGGATGAATGAATGGGTCCGCCCTATAAACGGGTGTGACGTATGATGTGGCAGAAGTCGAATTCTTGGCCATAGATGGCGCCACTGAAAAAACAAGAACAATCGCACCCCTTATGCCTAAACAGGCATACGTCAACAACAACAACAACGAAACTCATTTTAACCATTAAAGGTTTTCAGAAACAATTTTCCAAAAACGTAAACTAATCATTCGTTTTTATCTCGCTAAAAATCACGCATATCATTTATTTGAAAAATCCAAACTGAGCATTCATCAACAAACAATGAGAAAACAAAAAAACTCTGAGAAAATTTAAACAAATGATAGTCACAATCCGATATCATAAAACTATTTAAATCAATATCGTAATGTCACCAAAGAGCATAAACGGAAAACATTCTGAAACACGAGAAAAACAGATAAAACATAAGGTATTTTGAAATTTCTTCTTCAATCTGAATATATGGTTAAAGACAATTGTACACAGTGAACTCTATAAGCTAGATCTAATGCGAGATAATGATAAACAACGAAAGCGAACCGAAGTTCTTTGTCACTAAACATAAGATAATTTGTTACTGTGGTTCACGCTAAGATAAGGTAGTTGTCAAAAACGACCACAAAATGGCAGATGGCCAAAAATCTCTTTCTTCTTTTTTTAAATGCTCAATGTCCAAAACGTATGAAAGAGAAAGAAACACATTAATAACAAGCTCAAGTCAGATATAAGTTAAACATGTAAGTTCTGGGTGAACATTGTTTTAAATTTATAAATGCGATTTCATCTAGATGTGGACACAGCATAAAAGGATATTGGACGAGTTCCATGATGTGTGAATGTTTTTTTCAGATAAAGAATTTTAACTTTTGTTATGAGAAAAATTTTAGTATTTTATAAAACTTTTATAGTAGATAGTTGAAATTTATAGTTGGTGCAAAAACAAAAGATATTTGAATGCAGGTTAGTTTTTAGTGATGTATTAAAGTAGCTTTAATATTATTTCGAATGGGTTTCATATGTGAAAATTAAATTACCGTCTGAAAAAAAATTAATCCCATCCTTAACTTAAGTAATAACTGTTAAATTTTATTTCCAAAATATAATCCTAAATAGATTTACTAATTTTGGTCATCATAAAAAATTGTGGCTGTAAAATAATGCTAAAAATATTTCATTTGCTTATAAAAAAAACTTCCACATTAGAAACAAATTAGTTCTTTTAGAAGCATCATGTGTTTTAACGTGCACCAAACACATAATGTTTCTAAAAGAACTAATTTGTTTCCTAAAGATTATGAATTAAATTAAGTGAAATTTTCAATTAGTTAGAATCTATATCAATAAAGATGTAATTTTTTAAAAATTACTAATATTTTATAACTTTTATTTTTAATGAAATTTTTTAAGGTAGAGCGCCTTTTGCTCCTCAACCTCTAAACTGCGCATGACATGAAACTGCTCCTGACCTGAATGTTTTGTTGAATATTTTCAGTTATAGCAAAATCACTTAAGACAAAAATATTCGTTTTTTATAAAAATGTCCATGTTTTTATAAATATTTAGGCTAGGTTTACGAAATTTTGCGCAATTATTGCATATAATAACCAAAATACTAGTTATAAGTTACAAATTGTTACTACATTGTTTTGCATAAGACGTTCAAAAAAAAAATTTCCGTTTCTAATTTATTGATGATCCCTCAAAACCTCAAAAAGCTTTAAACTTCATTGATATGTATGAGAAATCGCATGATCTAAACACTTCTAAATTCATAAACTGATTCTCTAAGTATTTTTGAGAAATATCAAAAAATGTGTTAGTGACGAAGAGTTTCCATTATTTTATCCAACCTCTGTATATCATAAATACTGGTTTAGGGACGGACGCAATATTTTATTCATGAGGAAATTTTCCCGTCAAGCAATAAAAACACTTTTGAAAAAATTATTAAAAAAGTCGCCTTGGAAAATATAATATTGTTTTAAGTCTTGAAGATATATTCCTATATTGCCAATATTGCCTTTTATACCTTTAATCCAATTCATTCTTGAACTAATCGCTGAATTTGATTTAATTATTTGCAGTTGTTTTTCATGTTTCTTTAATCAAACGTATCTTTCAAACAGATAAAAAGATATTTCACTTACTTTGAGCTCCGTGTTGAACCATAATATAGTGGAAATTCGTTGCAAACTTAAAAAGGTCACAAGTCGAACTATTTTATCTTGCAACTTAAGCCATCTAAAATTTAATTCTACTATATTATAGTTCTACTAGAAAAGAAACATAGTAAACTTAATTAAAGCAACGGCAAATTATTAAAGTAATAGCAAATTATTAAGGCAATAGCAAATTTGCATAGCATTATAGTTCACGGTTCGGTACTGATATTATGGTTGAACGGTGAACCGATTTCAATGAGAGTGTACAAAACCATGCAAATACTTCTTATTATGATCATATTTGGCATTTTAGAAGACCACGCTTTTGATTCTAAAAAGATGGGCAAAATTTTAGGAAGTGATAGTACACACCCAAGCAAACAATTTTTATCAAAGAATGCATGGTCGAAAACAAAGCGCAAAGGTGCTGGCTCATTTGGAAAGTTGTTTCATGCAAACGTGAAAGCTCCATTCCTGTTGCGAGTTACTGCGCTGCGAGTTATTATTTGCATGTTATGGGAAGAAGAAGAGCTCGTATATAAATTTTCGTCACGATTCATACATAAAAGCTGCTGATTCGAGAGTGCATTGTCAATCGCGGTAGTAACGCATCTGAAGATGCTGCCCTTCTCTAATAAGGAAAAAGCCGATATGCATTTTGACTATGCATTTGGTTCCAACAGAACGCAGTACGAGAAATGCGAAGTTATCTGGACGTAACCTTTCCAAACCAACGGATTGGCGAGGTGGTCCTATAGCTTGGCCACCGTGCTCGCCAGATCTTTCATGCATCGATTTCTTTTTATGGGGACAGCTGAATGCTCTTATGTATGAGACTCGCATTGAATCTGCAGAAGAACTTGTCGGCCGCTGCAGGGGAAGCTCGCGATGTGACTGGTGTGTTTCAGAATGTTCGCCAATCTCTTCTTTGTCGTTGTACTGCGTGCATAGCCAATGCTTGCCATTGTTTTGAACACTTATTGTAATCACATCTCATTAAATTTACTTTTATAACTTAATTTCATCGTTCATTGTGTGTTTTTGCCTCATATACGAATGTAACTTTGTACGCCCTATAACGGTTTTGTGTTTTGTTTTCGACCATGCATTCTATGACAAAAATGGTTTGCTTGCGTGTGTACTATCACCCATCTTAATTTTGCCCATCTTTTTAGAATCACCCTGTATCAGAATTCATATATCAATTGAACGAAAGCACAACGCACAAAACTAAAGCGTTGACCATAGTTGGCTCTTTTCTTAATCCCACGCCAACCTTTACTGTTTAAAAAGGCAGGATTTTCGTAAACAAAGCTCTTCTTCATTTGTTGGGTTTTTTTTCTTGCATTTTCTGAAGTTATCAGCACATGACCGTACAAATCATAATTGCGATAATAGCGTCCCATAGATATTTAAAAATTAATGAAGTTAGCGTTGAAATATACGCACCCACTGTCTCATAAAGGGTTAACATTCAATAATATACATTCAATAATAGAAAATATAAAGAACTGTTGACTTTTTAGGTAATTAATTTAATAATAATAAATTCTTTATAGAAAACAAAAAGAAATATTTATTGACAATATAAGTGTACTCGTAGCTTACTACATTCGCGTACATTTCGTATCGACGTTCTACAAATTTTTATATCGCAAAAAACAAACTGAACATAACCGCTGTTGCCATTCTTAATTTACAATATATATATATATATGCGCTTACAGACAATACTCAATGACATTTTTCTAATATTAAACATCATTACGCTTTTTTTCAATGCAAAATAACTGGATGAATATCCAAATAGAAGTATCTTTAGTAGTTAACACTGAATGACACTTCAATAACAAAAAAATAAGATGAGAAGAAAAAAATTAAGTTGTCTTTTCGAAGAATTTTCTATTATTTTATGACACTTTTCTTCCATAAGAGTTCTTCCAAAATAAAAACTAAATGAATCCCATTCCAGCAATGTGTCAAAAGCAACTCTTCACTTTGTGAAATACACGTCAAAATGTCAGATGCTGTTACAATTCTCTAAAGATGAAACAATGAAAATAGAAGTTAATAGAGTCACAGAAATTGTGAAGTATTAAAAAAAAAAAAAGAAATATATGAAGAAGCAGTTAACTGTAAAATGAAAAATAACTCCACCCGTTTTCAGAAGTGAATTCCGAACGACACAATGAATACTATATTAGATGCATCAAACCAATTTGAACAGTGAAGCATTTTTATTAATAACTTTATTATGCTTACTTCATTGTAGAGCTAATTTTGTCAAGATAATATGGATATACCCACTCATTCATGTCATTTCGTTTCAAATATCCAATTCATTTTTTAAAAAAAAGATTCAAAGGTTTAGAAATGTTTGATTGGCAACTGAATAACGCAATTATTTTTAGTAAGAAAAAAAAGGAAAACTGAGGAAGAAAGATATATATATATATAAATGTTTTGTTGAATATNTTATGAAATTGGTTGATGAAGAAAGAAATATTAATATTTTGTTTTCATTTATCCTTTAGATGAATTTACTAATACAGTAAAGTCCCGATTATCCGAGCCCCAATTATCCGATTTTCCGCTTTAACCGAGCTATCCAATGTATTTCACAGATCTTTTTTTTTCTAGTTTATTTTTTATTTTTAAAACTACCGCCGAAAAAAATTCTGAATTTTATCTTCCAAACACTCAGTAGAACAAGCTGAAGGACAGCATGAGATTACATATGAAATGATAGTTAATATCGTCAGAAATGAAAATGAATCTACCGAAGATGATGAAGACAGTGATCATAAAAATCAACATATAAAAATCTCTCAACATAAAAAAAATCATTATAAAAGCTATCGAAAGTGATATTGAATATATAGAACAACAAGAGGAGGCGACACCAGCTTTCTTGTTTATCCCTCAAAAAATGGCAAAACATGCCAAAGTAATGTAAAAAAAAAACGATTAAGGACTCTTTTTCAGTAAAAACTCATTAATCCTCGTTAAGTACGCTTTTTAAGTGTCTTGAAGCAAGGTTTTAATTATAATATGATTTTTAGGTGGTGAACTCGCATAAACTCTGCATTTGATATTACATTTATACCTAATCTTTTTTTCTTTCCATTTTAATACTCTTCCCTTTAACCGAGTTTTTCGGTTATCCGAGCTAGTCGTGGTCCACATTAACGGATAATCGGGACTCTACGTATATATATATATATATAGTCTAAATCATTGACTTGAAATACCTCATTCCGGTAGTGTAAATGTTAATTATGTTAATTAAATTATAAATTCTTGCTTTTGAACTTGATTTATCATTTTTGTTTGTCTCACAGTTATATTTTTTTTCTTCTTACATTTGTTTGTTTTCAAAGTTGTTTTAATTTTGTCATAAATTATCTCCTCATTAATTTATAATTATTATTATTAATAATAACAATATTACTTCTACGCTGTTAGAGTTTTCACTCTGAAATTACGGTAAAATAACCGGCAGCAGACCGTCCATCCGCTTAACCATAAAATGTATGCTTACAGGAACATGTCTTTACCTATACGGTTTTGTAACCATTTACAATCAGCACAGTTTCTAAACCTTAAAAATAAAACTTAAACGGACATTGGAGATCTATGGGTGATCAAATTATGCTCGAACGTTATATTCGTATTTCAATAGTTTAGAGTCACTGATTGAAGAGTGTAGGACGCTGGAAACTTTTCATGTATTGAAGGAATGGAGGATATTTTGTGATATTAACGTTGGGATTCGAACCCCTGTTCATCCGGTTATGAGATTGACTGATTGCCCCTCTCAGCTACAGTTTGTACTTTACGGAACAAAAGAGCTTCATAAGGTGGGCCTAGTTGATGCGGATAAAATTCTGTTTCTTAAACAGCATTGGGAAAAAGCAATTAATAAATGTTTTTTCTCTTACAGTTGACAGTTTGAATATCATCCTTTTTTATGATTATTTGACTGTTTTGGTTGAATGTGGTAAAATGACAATTAAATAAATTCCTATTTAACCATTTTTCCAGAGGAATTTCTAACAGTTTACTACTTCTACAGCTATTACTATCACTTGAAAATGCTTGATGGTGCTTGAAATGCTTGAAAATGCTATGTTGCTACCAATTCGGCCTGCTATTCTAGTCCATCAAAACAATCAAAATTATTTTGAAGAAAAAAAAATTAAAATTATCAAAAAATTTTTGTGCAAAGTCAACTAAAACACGAGATAGTACTCTTTTCAAATTATTGAATGACGGTTTACATAATTTCTGTACAAATGAATATAGTTTGAAATATATCGATCCTAGTCGGATGTTAAAAAATGGTTACTTAACTTCCTTATTAAGTAAAAAAATATCTCAGTGATAAGTTACGCCAGAGTAAAAGTAGAAAATCTTTTGATATTAGACACGTCATGTAAATATTTTTAAAAAAAGGTTGCAATTTATTTAGAAAGTTCCATTATAATCATGTAAATAAATAAATTAGGAGCATTTTAAAAATACGAGTTGTGGAGAAATCATTTGCTCTTACTAAAATAAAATAAAAGAATTCATGTACTAAATGCCCTTTTTCTTTCAACAACCATCCTCCTACGTATCTTAAAGTAACACTTGAGCACAGAGGTAATAAAAGAGGCAAGAAGAACTTTAAAAGATAGAAAAATGCAATTATAGCGACGTTAGCAGCTAACCAAGTTTCATTGTTCGGTATCAATTTTGGAAATGGAATTACACTTGGGAAGAAGTCTTGAAGTGTGTGTTAAAATTTAAGTGTCTCAGTTGCGCAATGTCCCTGATTTATGTCTTGTGGGGACTATAAAATTAAGTTTGCGCAGCATGAATTTTTATTACCTGCGCGACCATGAAGAGGCTCTTTGACGGAAATGCATAAAAGAAAGGAGATTAGAAAGAAATGTTGAGTATGACAATCGCAAGGGCTGCTTTTAGACAAAGTAAACTTGTCCATTTTCCCTCCGTCCTTAGAAAAATAAAATGCATGCCAATTATTTGTTTTAAATTCATAACTTAAAATTTGAAAGTGCCTAATGTTCCTACAAT